TCACTTTACAGAAGTCAGTGGAGATCTCTGTTGCGTTACAGCTTACTTGTGATTTCAAAGTACTGTACCCCTACTCTTATCTACACGTTGCTGGTAGTCTGTGTCTCTAAACAGAATTTGGGGGATTTCCTGCTCTTGCAGGCTCTTCATTGTCACAGAAAAGGTTTTCTTTTTGTCATTAGGAACCTGCTTTTTTTGTGTATCTCTGTTTCCCTATTATTTTAATTAACAGGATCTCAGAACTGCTGACACTTTTGTCTCATGCCATACAGCTGTGGATGTTTTCAACCTCTTCGTGTTCTTTCAAATGCATCTATATGTCTGAATCTGTTAAAGCAGAGAAGGTTTCTATCCTAGGGAGGGTGAAGGAGGTTTTTATTTAACATGAGTAGGTTTTAAATTATCCATGAGTCCTGTGTTGTAATAATAATTCAAAAAAAAGTAAAAACCAAATATGTCATCTTAAATAGCTATTTAGTTTATATCCAGGACGACTCTTCTGATATTAGAGCATTGTTTTTGTGAGGCATCATTACTTTGTGTTACTTTCTGTAAACAAAAGCACACAAGTAATTTTTTAAAGGATTGTTACTAGAAATTAATCTGGAATTATTGCTTGCATCTATCGTGTTGTGGTGTCCGTGCAGCTAATTGGTATCTAGCACTACTTTAAGCTTGTGGTTGGTTGTACAATGTCCCAGAAAAAGGTCATTGAAGAAGAGAAAGTTTAGAAACTGTACTACTTTATCTCTCTTCTTTCCCTCTTTCCCCATCAGTCTCAGCTCTTGTGGAGTGTAATGTGAAATACTTTCCTGTGATTTCATTATCTGTTGCTTTTAGGCCACAGTCTTTAACCAGAAAGGAAGGCAACGGGTTGTGCTGGACTAGAAAATTAGATTGAGAGATCTTTTGCTTCCCTACCGGAGGTGAATCTATAATTACAACTGTAATTGGGTTGTAGAGGAGGATAGGTAAAATAAAGTACTGAAACATAAATAATAGTGGACTTGTATTTATTTTGCTTTCTCATACTGAATGTATAACCTTTAAATTTTTAAGAAAAAGGAAACAGTACTTCATAGATTTAAACCATAGTAGATATTTTTCTTGTCTTGGAACTTTAAACGTGTTGATGTATTGAGTAGCCAGTAAATGTGAAATTATATGTGCACTGCCATTTATCAAAAGATTATTTGTTTCTCACTTTGAGGACAATTAATAGCAGCAGCCTTGTTAAACTTCCTGCCTTAATATCGATCAATAAGTACTCATTCCAGAAAGCTGTGCTTCTGAAAGGTCTAGCATTAAATAAAAAGCTGACATTTCAAAGATTGACTTTCATGCCCAATCAAAAATGTAACCATCTTACATTTAAATCCTTTAGCATTCATGTATTATGTCTCCATTTTTATGCCAAAGTAGTACATTTTATGAGGCTACCAGCAAGCAGAAGGGAACGGTCTAAGGATCTATCCTCACTCTGTTTGGTTCTACTCATATTTATGCTGTCAGCACCTTCTTTTTCTGGTTTCAGTGATCAGCATTTGCCACAGCTGTATAGGTAGCAGACCACTTCCAGAATGAGATTTTGAAGTGCAGCAGAAGTCAAAGAGGGTGTATACGACATATACGAGAAGCAGATATATCCTCACGCTGGCTGCAGTTGTTCCTTTGCTGTACTTTGTGCACAGGCTTCGTGGTTCAGCTGTGGCTTGTGGAGAGCATGAGCTTCTTCTGTATAAGTATGTTGAACTCCCTTATATTCTGAGCAAGATGAGAGATTCTTGCAGTGCAGTGTGCCTGAAGATGAGGAAAATCTGAAATAGCAAAACTTGAATCCCTATTCATGTTTTGATATAAAGTAGATACATTAAATAATAGATTTATTATGTGAGCAGAACTAGTTGGAAGAAGCAAAACAATTGAGTACTTTAAAGATGTTTCTTGCTTTATTTTATAGAAAAAAACATGACAGCAGTCTATTAAGACTTTATAAAGTTCTTGTGCAGCAAGAAAGGAGTGTTACCATATCATTTCTTGCGGTAATAAATTTAAATGGTCTGGTTGTGATTAGAATGCTGATCAGGAAGGAAACAGAAGTCTGTCCTTTTTTCATAAAAAGATATAAAAAAGGTTACACACTTCAAAATGCAGAAAAGACAGAAATTAAAAGCTTAAATAACTGCAAACAGCAGGGTACGTCAGTAATGGAAGGACTTCTTAACTGGCTTTGACAGCTTTTGCAGGTGCACATACTATGTCACTTTGCCTAGTGGAGCATTGAAAAAGATTTATGGGACTCCTTTTGGAATTTATTAAGAGTTTCTTTCTTTCTTTTTCTTTCTTTGCAAAGTAGTCTGGACATACCACTCCCTTGCAGTTGTTTTTATTACAGCTCCTAGAGGAAAGTCACCTATTCAAAAACATGTGTTGCTTGTTGTCTCCATGGCTAGCTCACAGAGCTGTAAACTCTGGACAATGTTGTTATTTACAGCCAGGTATTTTTCTTTCCTTCCCCTTTTGCTTCTTTTTCTTTGTATGTAAATCCCATTTTATTTGGTTTATTTCTTGAAAGTCTTCCTGTGTAATCTTGTACCCCTAAACATTTGAATTGGTAGTAAAAATATTTTTTTCAAAGAGAGACTCTGACAATGAGGAATGAGAAAATTTTGGGTTGGGTTGGGGTTTTTTTTAGGTTTATTCACATATGCTGTGGTATATTCCTTTATATGATGTTATTCTTGCTTTCACTAACGCACTTGCATGATACTGTTTGTAGGTGCTCTGAGGGGCCACAGCTATGCCTGTGGTGTTTGCTGATTCTAATTAATTTTATTCGGTTCCTGTTCCTCAAAGACACAACTGTTCTATTTTCTTTTTATTTTCCTTTTTTTTTCTTAATTTTTTTGAAACTCACCATCTATACTCTTGAAACATTATTTATGATTTTAACAGACCAATGAGTGTTGTGGGATTTAATTCCGTTGACAGAGTTAATCCATCTACAGATGCACAAGTGTTAGTTTCGGTTTTGTTTTCTGAAATTTCTCAACATTTTTAAAGAACCCTCTTTCCTGTAAAATCTTGTCTTTACATTACTAGAAGTAAATCTGATGGCAACATCTAATTTTGGTTCAAATTACAAGAAAGTGAGGCAGAGACAGGGTTTTGGCTGTCTTTTACAGTTCCAGGTTTAGAGCTTTAATTGCAATGAATATCATGTCAGAATTTTCTTGGGGAGCTAGTGAATTACCAGTGTTAGAGAAACAAAGTATTTTAATTGTCCCAGCGAAGATAAATACTTAAAGCAGCAACTTCTAAATTGAAAACAGTGACTATAATTGTGGCAGTAATCAGTAAGATAACCAATTAACAGTATCAATTAAGACAGTGGTTAACCTTACTTTAATTACAAGCAGGGATATGATTGATTACAACACTGATGGGAGTGGCACAAAGAACTCACAAAACTATGAAAGAGTTAGAAATATCAATAGTTTGTTTCTCTGCATTCTGTCTTATAACTTTTGCTCAGTATGAAGCTTAGTTTGGGTTCTTTTATAGTTTTTAATACTCTAGTAATTCTCTCATTTTCTGTCAACTCTTACTTGGTTTAACACATTAAGAACCATGTCTTTCCTCTTTGTGGGAGAAGAACTATGGAAAGTGTTAGCAAAACTTACTGCTTTAATTAAATCTTCGCTTCTTGAACAAGAACAAATGTGTCAGTCTATAAAGAGTGAATATTGAGACGTTCCTGACAATAATGGGGGTGGGGTGGGGGGTGGGTTACAGAGACTGTCCTGGTACATGTAGAACACTAACAACATCTGTAATAGGTGATGTACTGAAATCCTTACAGTATAAGATTTCCAAGCGGCTTGTGGTCTGAAATTAAGGCCATATTTCTTCCCCATCAGGGCCTTGTAGCTTTAGACATTTCGTGAACTGCATGATGAGATGTGGGCAGTAGTGCTTCTTTTTACTTGCAATGATATTCTTTAAAGTTACCTAACAGTTTTTTCCCTTTGCACAAATTCTATCTATAGGTCTTTAAATTATGACCAGTTTTCTAAGGTTCAGAATCTCTTCAGTGGATTGATTACCTGCGTAGTTAATCTTTGCAGGTGTTTGATACAAGTATAAGAGATGCATAGACCTTAAGACAGTCAGTTGTGAAGCACAAGTGACTAAAATCCTGACTTAATTGTTCTGGTCAAGACAGAGACTTTTTTTCATGTATGGTGGAAATCTTTACCCTGGTTCTGTTTGCTAAATAATAATGCGATATAACAGGTTAGTGAGTACTCAGTATGGTATGGTAGTGTGTGAATTTACAGCACACCAGCTACTCTACAGAAGCTCCCCATGGGATGCTCTGAGTTTATGCAAACTTTGAGTTAACTGTAATTTACAGTAAATTATCCTGCACAAAGGCATTCTTAGTACACAGTTTTTGAGCTAGCATACTTCTTATACTTACTCTGCAATTCTGTTTAACACCCTAATATAAATACAGCTATGTAAACACACTCCTGACTTCTCTTGTATTTGCTGCTTCAGAGTTTTCTTCATGCTCAGTAGTCCGCATGAACCAAAACTTGGCAAATATTCATATCAGAAAGTAATAATCCACAGTACTTTTTGTGATATACTTGCAAGAAAGGTTAGGTAGTATACTTGAGTGATACTTTTCCTCCACTAGCCAGTCTTCTACTAATCAAGGCTTTGCATAAATAATAAGGCCCTCCAGGATTTGCATAAATAATAAGGCCCTCCATAGACAGTGAAGAAAAATGATTCTCTTGCTCTTTAATGGATGACACCTGAGGACTTCGCATCCTCTTATAACAGCCCTTAGAAGACTTGATCGATATGTGGGTTTCCTCATCAAGTGCTCAGGAAGTCTTAATGAGTAAAATGGCAGCTAGTCTCCAAATAAGTAATACTGAAATAGAAAAAATAAACAAAAATTACAGTGTTAATTTGTTATCCTCCAGACTCGTTTCAACCAGCGTCTCAGTAACCAGGATTTTGCCATGGATGAAGATGATGATGATGAAATGGAGAGAACAAGCAAGTAAGAAGCCTGTTTGGATGTGTATGTATGCATGGGAGAAAGGGTAACTAGTGTTATTCAGCAAAGTTGAGTTCAAGTGATGCATTTTTCTCCTGTCCAGGCTGCTAGCTTGATTCTTGATCGAGATGATGTCAAGTAGTTTAGAACTAAATATGCTTTTAGAAAGATCAAGAGGCTATTACATCTTTTCATTATTTATAGTGCCTAGAAGAGCTTGACGTAATCCTCAGTCTTCACGGACTCAAGATAAAATGATAAACTACATACACAAAGAAGCAGTGAAATAGTATTCATCAACATGGTGGGCAGAGACCTCAGCTAATCTATTCTTTAAGTCTTGTGTTGTCGTCATGACAATGGAAAGTTTTCTGAAGGGTCTGAAAGAGAAATATTGCCTTGTGAGTTTTAGTCTTACTATGTGTGAATTAAAGGAAAATTGTAAGTTGAGGCTTAAGCTGCCTTGAGACGTTCTCTGATTGAATTCAGGAGACGATTTTGATAATGAACATATGGATATAAACCATGAAGGACCTTGAAAGCAAAGTCAAGTAGCTTAAGCCATGATGCAGTAGCGAAGAGGGAGCTACTGAAGTGTTTTCAAAGGATATCATCAAAACAGAGAGCTGTGGAAATACCCTT